GACAGAGTACCAGTATAGATGAGGGAAAGATTCCTGTATCCCCACCCCTTTCAGCTGATGCCTTCTGGGAGTGGGAGAGTCAGTTTTCATCAGGGATGTGGCCCATGAGAGGCAACCCCTGCTCCAGTAGATGGCCCTGTGCACATGCGCACAGCACTAAGAGGGTACAGTAGATAAAACATTGCAGAACATGAGGTTGCTATTGGCACTGATAAGGAGGAACTGACTGTGGAATTACACCATTCTGGAGCAGGGCAGGAGGTACACATCTTAAGAGTCAGGTGTGGCACACACCTGTAACCCCAGCGCTGCTGAGACACATCCGCGGTGAGGGGCAGAAATGAATGCGCACACTGAGAACTATGAATCCAATGGGCTGGCAAACACATTCCGTTAGCTGAAACACAGGGTTGCCCTGCTTTCTGCTTTCCCCTCTGTTTCACGGTAACACCACAAACTCGACGATCTAGTTTGAAAATCCTGGCCCCACACTCTGGCCTGTTCTGGAATACCATTCTCCTGGCCTCTGACTTATGATTTCTTAGCTGGACCTGCCTGGCCTAATTTGGCTACTGTGCTTAGGATGTGTGTAGGGGCTTTACAATAGGAGAAAACTTAAATAGGAAATGATCTTTTCAATGTTTAGGAAGAAAAGGGAAGCACCAAAGAAGCTGACATGGAGCTAAAAAGCAGAGTTTGATGCCAAAATAGAGGCTACACAAGGGTCCAGCGGCCTGGAGCAGCTTGGGAGCGCCTGAGCCAGGTAGCTGGCAGGCCTAGAACCAGTACCAGGATGTGAACTTGGATGTGTTAGGATGGCCTAGCAGGACCAAGCCTCCTACAGGGAATAAGTAATGCTCTAACATTGAAGGTGCCTTAGAGAGTCTCAACCAACACTTTCTCCTCTTTTATATCTGAGAAGTAGATATGATTAAGTCTGTTCAATAGAGTAAGAAAGAGAATCACAGATAACAGGGATGCTGATTGATAGTATGTGAGCCCCAAAGAGAGTTCAGAGATTGGAGATTGGAGCATAGAAATGTTCCTGGAGTTGGCAGCTGCCAAAGACTTCTGCTCTGAGAGAAATGAAAGCATATTTTGGGGGAAAATAGTTATGCATGTCTAATTTGAGTGAATTTATGTTTATCAAGATGATTTTTCTTACAAAAATTTAGGTTTCCAGAGTAAATTAGAAGGAATCAGATTGCCTTTTTGCTAGGTTATTTAGAAGGAAAATACCTTGCCTGGCATCTCACTTAGCTAGTAGCACTGCAAAGGGCAGTAAGTAGTCAGCCCCCACCCCTATATGCCCAGCCAGGGCACCCCCAGCTGCCTGCTCTCCTCTGTAGGCCAGTGGTCCAGGGGCACTGGATAGATGTGGGACTTTGGTTGCCTTCATTTCCTAAAGGAATGCCAGGCAAGCTCCTTCTCGGTCCCGGGTAATGCTCCTTCCACGTTCACAGACGTAGTGTTCTCTACAGAGAGGCAGGCACACACATGTTGACACTAGGACCTAGGGGGCTTGTGTTTCAGAGATCTTGTCTACAAAACACTTGCAGGGACTGTGCATACAGGAGAATGGGTAACACAGAGGTTTTATAAATCTGGGCACATGAAGTTTCAATTTCCCAAATTCATTTTTAATAACACAGAAGTCCCCATTTTGTATAAAGGCCTTCATTTTAAATAAAAGGAAAATCAATACTTATATAGAGCCATAACCTAAAAAGCAAGCTAATTATTTGGTCAACACAAGCTTTCAAGTTGCCATCAGATTTTCTCTTGATTTATGAGACAGGGTGTTTCCTACTTAAATTGGAACTTTATTACAAACACTTTCTTTCAAAATGATTTATCCATTACAGAAATCAATGGGGTTGCATCTTGTGAAAAACCAAGATTTTATTGATAGCCAGGTGAATACGCTGAGAACTGAAGCCCAGCTCAGAGATGCCTATTCAGGACACAGGCTTTCAAGGTTCAAGATTAATGTGTTTTTTAAAAATTCATCTTGTAGACATCAAAAACGCCCATATGATGGATAGTGCTAACGAGGACCTTATTTAATTATAATTAATGATGGAAGCATCATATAAAGAATGGGCTCCATTTTCAGCTGCTTTAGAGAAATAATGTGTCCCACATAAATCTGTCATATACTACGAGGCCAATATGTGCAGCAGATTCTACAGATCTATCGGAGGGGCCTCTCTGACTCTGTGGCAGTTTCTGTTCATAACTATCGTAAAAGCGAGTGCACATTCAAAACAGCAGCAGCCGCAAGGCAGCCTGGCTTGCTTATCATCCTTATGTCTCATGTAGGCATGTCTGGATGCCACGGGTGAGGAAGGGAGGGCTAAGGAGAAGCCAGATGATTCCAGGAAGGAGGGGTTTTGAGGTGACAGTTAAAAATCACAAGACAAGACAGGAAGTGATATCCCATGGTGGTGGCTGTTTATTTAGCTGAGAAAAGTGTCAAAACCTGAAGAATGTTTTCTTTGTTTTTGTGCCTGTGAAGCCCTCCTTCGGGAGAACACAACAATCATCCATTGAGGACGATCTATGGAACTGTAAACGGTTGATGGGAGCCACACAGGGCTTCTGTACTGTCCTCGAGTCCCTTAATTCTCAAGGAATCTCCGTGTATGGATGGCTTCAAGCAATGGGTGTGAGCACCAGAAACCTTAAAAGGCTGGCAAACCTACAAATGTATTTTCAAGTTTATTTTATAATTTGAACTGGTTTACCAAGTAATAGGTCTCTGTGTGGATTTTTATACATATTTTATCTTCATTAATTTCTCCAAGCCCCCACCCCTCATGACTTTGCCCCCTTCCCCTTGTTTGCTTTGCTCCATTGTCTTCCACGCAACTCCCCTGAAAACCCTCCTTATTCCAACCCCATGGGCTCCTCTATAGTTTCCTGGCCTTTAAGCGTATTCATCCCTATGCAGGTCTGTGTGCATTTAACAGCCTGTAAACTGCCAACCCTATGTTCTTTAAGGTTCTCTCTTCCTGTTAAAATAAAAGAAATCACCCCTACACCCTGAACCTTTGACAGAAGTGTACTAATAAAGTGGAGTAAAGGCATTTGGTCAAGTCGGTATGCATTTGAACTGCTATGATCATTGGCCAACGGTGCTGATAATCTCCCTTACTGTGTTAAGTTTGTAAAAAGAAAATAGGGTTTGGAGTTCTTCGGTATTCAAACCAGGCAGAGGGAAGAGGGCTGCTGTAGGACACATTTTCCATGTGACAGCCATGGGCTTCTCACGAGAGTGATCTGAGGATAACGTCAGCCAGAACATGGTACTGGGGGTCAGGGAAGGAGTCAGGGAAGATAGCAGGTCCCTTCATTCATGTGGATGGACACAGAGAAGCTGCAGAGAGAGATCCCCACCAGAACTAGTGTCCTCTTCTCTGCTCCTCCCACTCTGTGTCCATGTGACAGCGCTTTCCCCATTACCAGGTCCTTTCCATACTTACTCCATCACAGCAAACGTGGTAAGATAAAAGACCTTAAAGACAGACCAACAGAGGTAGCTGTGCTTATAATAAAGTTCTTGGCTTTGCCTATGACCCAGGGTAGGTGGGACCACAGGCTGTTCCTACTCTAAACGTCCAGTATAGTGGGCTGCATCCTGAAGGTAAAGATGAAAACTAGACTCTACACAGAGAAGCAGTGAGATGGTCCATGACCTCCACTCAAATTTACTATGGTAAAACAAGATACCCCTAGATTTAAGGTCAGGTGACTTCTGTGTCTGCTCCCAGTCCTAGGCCTGGATGGCCATCAACAAACCCCAGCCCCAAACTCAATTCAACACCACCCAGATTTCATTCCTAGAAAGTCGGTCCTATTCTACTTGATCAGAGAACAGCGGCACAGTAATATACGTGACTTCCTGTGCTTTGCAAATTAAAGAAACATGGCTTTGCGGGGAGCCACATTCTCAAGCTCCTACGTGGGTGAATCATGGGGAGTCCACTTGGGGGATTTTATAATTTCTTATGAATTAAATTTATACTTTGATATGTCCATACATTTAGACAATTCATTTTAATCATCCCTCACCCACCTCTGTCATCGTTCCCAAGTCCACCTACACATTGCTCACATTCACGCTCTTCTGTTTCCTTTGTAACCTGGAGTTACAAGGCTGCGTGAGACCATGGGGTAAAAACTCTCCACTGGGGCTTGGTGAACTCACCAGTGGGAATAGAGCTAAAGAAAAACGACTTTGCATCTCCCTGAGTCCCCCAGGAGCCAATAGTTTCAGAAAGGAAGGGGTGGTGCCTTGTGAGCTCTTCTGCCATCCAGAACTTTGAGCATAATTTTCCTATTTGTAAGTAGGAGGCCACTTATCAATGGAATCCCTTTCTGTTGTGTTAATAGGGGTTACTGATGATTGGAAAGGCTCAGGATCCAGGCACAAAGGTAGGAACTGGGTGCACAGAGATCATTTCAGAACCACACTGTTCAAGACAGCTGTGCTTAGCTAAATAATGGCATCTTTATTTCAGGCTCATGACATGAAAATTACTAAATCTGGTAGCTGTACTTTTCAAGAGTAGGGATGTTTTAGAACTAAATGTTATATCAAAATTCATTTGAATTTTGAAGTACAACCTGTGTGCTCGCCCACTCTAAACGTGTAAATAATGGATAAACGGCTGTTGGTGTTTATTTGTTGTGTGGAAGGTAAGTACAACGAGTGCTAATATAAATTTATTACCTAATGCTTAATTGCTTTTCAGTTAACCCAGTTGCTGCTGTAGACCGTCAGAGGGCCAAGGATCATTAACCAGTGACAGCCACTCCTTCCCACACACCCTCCATAGCTGGTGGCTTCTAAGTAAATGGGAGAGAAGGCATGTTCAAACGCAAGTTTCATTTTCTTCCTTTGGGAATGTCCTGCAATCTCAGGGTGGAGAAAGACCAGGGCTTCACATGTCATTTACTTATTTCTTTGTGCATTTGTTGAGTGGGCGCCATCTTACCTTGGAACTGAGCATTGAACCCCTTGCGCCGATGGTTGCTGTCCGACGTGAAGTGGAGCCGGAGCCAGTTCTTGCTGCTGATCACGGGTGATGGGAGGTTCATGCCTGTGAGCCTGGAGGAGAGAGAGAGAGAGAGAGGAGGGTAATCTCCTTTGAAACCAACAGATCGAATGTCCCTTGGCGCCGTCACACCTGTTTTAAAATTGCATCACTGACAGTCTCCTGAGATGCTTCAAGCAGAAGCCGGTTGTTACATGCCTCCACATCTTCAGATGATTTCAGCAGGACATCAACACCCTGTCCTGAGATGATAGAATCAAAGTCTTCAAAAGGATTCAACATTTCTCTTCTGCATCAATGACGGATGCAGGAGATGTGGTTCTATCTCTCAGCTCCTTTCCTCGGGACCTTGGGCATAATGAATCACAAATAGAAAAGGTACTAAGATTATACAGCTGAGGTGGCTCGTTGCTTATCATGTTTGAGAGAGGACTGCTTTCCCACAATCCACCTGTAGGATTCACCATGGGGACCCTTTCCCGCCACACTGGAGAAGAACAGCCTTCATGAGACTAATGAGTGTTGAAGATATTTGAACTGGAATAAAGTGAGAATTTACTAAAGTAGCATTATATCTTTTTAAAAGTGGATGGTCTCTCAGACCTGTCTGCAATGCCTCTCTGCTCTCCAGTGCTCAGCTCAGCCACCTGGAGAGTGGCCTGGCGATTTTCACTGCCTACTGCTGAAATGCGGTTTGAGTGGCAAGGAGGAAACATTGTTCATATCATAAACCCTCACAATCAGAAGGACTGGAAATAAACAAAGCAAGGCTGGGGAACAGCACCACTGGATCCCAGAACTTCAGACATACCACTATTTCCTGGCTAAGCCTTGGAAAGTACCAAAATTAGGTCATGATTTGTAAATTAGTTTCACCGTCTATAAACTACGGTGTTTCCCCAGTAGCCACAAAAGATTCCCACCCAACAAGGCTCAGAATTCACAGTAGCTCAAAGCCTTCATAGCCCATAGATAATGTCTGTGTATAACCTCTGGGCACAGTTTCTGGATGACTCAGAACCTAAAGGTTAAGGTGACAGCTGTCCTATCACTGAGGACAGAACAATGAAGAAAACATTTTTAAGTTTTAAAATATTCAGTGCAGACACAATTAAAAACACTTTTTGATTTGTGCTTGACTGAATCTGTGGATGCAGAATCAATACAAACGTATGTGGACATTCACCTAATGTGTTTTCTCTGCATCTGGGAGGAACTGTGGCTGTGCACTATGAAATTGTTTTGCACCTTGGTTGCCAAATCTTGTTTTGAAATGATGCCTATTGGTGCCACTGGTCTGTGATGGTTTAGCTACATCGTTCCAAAAGTTACCTGTGTGGCTTCCTCTGTGGTCGAACTGAGTACTAGGTCTCCAAACACAGGGCACAGAGCAGCAACTGCTTGTCTGTAAAAAATGCTGCCTTATTTATATATTTCCTGTGGGAAAGCAGTGTTGCATACACCAGAAGTCAAGCCCACTATGTCAGATGCTCACTTCAATGACAAACTTCAGACATGTGCACAATGGGCTTAGAGTTAAAAGTTCCACCCAATCCTAAGTGCTTATTTATTATTTAATTAATCTCTTATCCCCACTTGATTTCCTGAAGTACAGTTCAGGCTGCTAGAGAGGACTGATTCCCAGACAGGCTTCATCTCCTCTCCCTTTGCCCAGGAAAGGTTATCTACAAACTCCATCCCACATACCTCCGGTAATACTGAGAATGCCCCAAGGATATGGGAACTGTTAATTAAAAACCAGACCCATCCAGCTCACCTTCATTTACCTGTTGAGCTTAGTATAAAGCTTGCTTTAAAACATGCTATTTTATTGATTCTAATCTCCATAACAGGTGGAAATTGCATTTCAATTGCAGGCCAACATTTATAGCACTCTTGAACAAATACCTTCTTGACTTGTATTTGCAAACACCTGTCTACAAAAAGGCCAGGTCTGTGTCAATCATCACACATCTCCGTAGAGAATAGGGTACTGTTTAGTCTCGTCACAACTAGCAAGTTGATTATCACTGGAAAGCAGCCATAGGGTGCTTCACATCGATCCAAAGCTAGAGGAGTGTGTCTATGGCTTCTGATACCTCAAGTTCATATGATTTCTTTTACAGTTAATACTGACCCACTTTTAGTCCATGGGTCAGATTGAGTTTATGAGAACAGATTGTCGACTTCTGTCCTAGAATAAGGGGGACTATGTATAGTATTACTTTGAGAAGGCTAGAAAGATGGTTCAGTGATTAAGGTGCTTATTTCTCTTTGTGGGTTCAAAGTTCAGTTCCCAAAACTGACCTGGCATCTCACAACTGCCCATAGCTTTAGTGCCAGGGGATCTAATGCCCTCTTCTTGTTGCCTAAGGTTCCTGGACTCACATAGCTCCATAAGATCTTGCTGACCCACATAGATTAAAATTAAATACACATAAATACACACACACATACACATACACATAAATTAAAATTTAAAAACAAAAAGATCAAAATCTCTTAAAGATTACTAGCCAGGAAGAACTAATTAATCTATTTTTAAGGCTTATTTTTTAAATGTGTGTGCAGTGGTGGAGGGGATAACTTGAACCTGAATACAAGTACCCGAGGAGACTTACTTAGTGGTGTCACTGGTAAAAGAATAGCTTGGTGATCGATGTCTACTTCTATATGTTAAACATATGCAGTACTTCTTCCTAGGAAATACGGCCTCATTATATAGTCCGGGTTGAAATCAAATTTGTCATCCTCCTGCTTCAGTCTCACGGATGCTGGCTGAGAGCCATGCTATGGATTTCTTCCCATGAAGCTCTCTGTGTCGGGTGCAGGACAGGAAAGTGCCTCACAACAAAACAAAAGAGTCCATGTGTTCTGGTTTCAGTTCTGATACTAAGATACACTGCCTGACAAGAACTGACTGGGGGTGGGGGTTGTTTGCTTGTCTGATTAGTTCACAACTGCAGGTTACTATCATACAGTCCATCACCCGAATCTAGTCACCTCACATCCGCAGTCATGAGCAGAAAGAGAAGGTGGCAAGGCCCATCCTCATGCTGAGCAGCAACGTTCCCAGGCCTGGGTTCCAGGCTGAATAAAAGGGCACAGCACCAGCATTCCTTTCTCCCTGTGCCCCGACTTCAGAAGTAATGGGACTAGCGGTCTCAGCCTCCTGACACCTTGCCTTTCCCATCACAACGGGCCTTACCCTCGAACTTAGAGCCAAAATAAACCCTTTCTTACTTAAATCATTTCTTGTCAGGACGTTCATCACATCAGTGAAAAAAGGACCTAATAAGCCCAGGGTCCCTTCAAGGTAACTGGGAGAGACACTTCTTTGCTTCATTCAAGGGCATCACACTAAGCCACAGAGAGCACAGGAAAATCCATGTTTCTTCAAAGTCCTCAACAAGATTGTGCTTGAGCTGAAAGTAAAAATAAATGTAGGCCTCGTGGGAGCTCTCGGTTTAACACGGCCTGCTTGGAGCCAAAGCAGAGCAGCCCAATTTGTTCCACTTTCTCCAAATAGTTTTGCCACAAATTTTTGGATTCTATTTATAAGGTACTCATTCCTTATTTTTCCCTCAGCCTCCCCTCAGCTTGGCCTTTCTCTCACACGATAAAAGGGGCTGACCATGTGGGATTCGAGTTCTCCAGACCCAAGTCTGTGACTCATATTTTACTTATGTAACTTGAAAAATGTAGAGTCAACGTCCTGAGATCATTTCCCAAAATGCATTTGGAAACCCTAATAGTTTTCAATTTCGTTCTGTTTGGGTGCTTCAGACGCGAAGCCAGATTTCTCACAGCTTTAGAGAATCATTATCGAGATTATGTGGGGGATCCCTCTGTCGTTAAAACCCTTCCGGGATGATTAAGGAGTCAGAACCTAGTAGAAAAGTCTAGGAGACATTTTAAATGAGCTGTTCCATCTATGGAGACTAAACGGTTGAAGAAGTCTGTTAGTTCAAAGGCACCATTTACAGACATGGGGAGAGAAGCTTACTGATGATACATTGTTTTCTGCTGGGTTCTCACAGGCCTGTAGTGTGGGGACTTGGGTATCAGTTTACCAGAGCCAAACAGAGCAATCTGATCGCACATGGAGCTTGTAAAATGACGTAACTTGGTGAGTCTCACATTGCAAGTGAAGCAAATTCTTAAGAACGTGGAGTTTACAATACCACGCCAAGCTTATAGGATGTCAGGAGGGTAACAAAATAAGGAACTGTTCACCTTGTACTGATGTAGAAAAAACTATCTAAGTATACATACATGTGTATCTGTGTGTTATGTGTGTATGCTGCATGTGTATACATGCCACACACATATATATGGAGGAAAGCATACATACCTACTACACTCATATTTATGAATATTGGAGTGGTTTAATTAAAAACTTATATTAACATATATACCTACTTGAGAAAAATATGACCAACAAGAACAATGCAAATTCAGGGTTGCAGTGAAATCTTCAGGAAATCCCCTCTTTAATCAAATCAAAGTACTTGAATCAGATCAAGTACTTCCTCCAGAAGGTTCTTCCTGCATCCTCTGGACACAGGCAAAGCCATGCACAGGACACTCTCTTCTGCATTTCCCTGGCAATACTGCCCCTTCACCTGTCAGATCTCATGTTAGGTGAAGCCTGTTCTATTAATCCTCCCAGGTTACATTCATCCTGTATTACGTATTTTCCTGACAAATTGGGTTCCTTATGCAGACCTACTAAGAAAGAATACAGTTTACTTGCTAACTTCCTGTGAACCAGAAGCCCAGCTAACCCTTCTGTCTCCTAGACCTACATAAAGGCTAGGTATGTGGAGGGCAGTCAGAATATGGCAGATAGAGATAGAATAGATGAAGTGGATTGGTCCATATACTCTACCAGGGTAATCACCACAAAGTGAAACCTACAAAATAGAGTCCTCAAGCATGACACCACACACACACACACACACACACACACACACACACACACACTGACCTCAGTGAGCGACCTCAGGCAGGCACTCAACTCACCTGGGTCTTAGGTGGCTCACCAGGGGGG